CGGTGGGATGCTTCGAATTTGTGGCGGCCTAGGCGAAGGAGTCCAGCACACTAGGAACTGTCCTCCGTGCGCCCCTTGTCGTGACGACGTAGATGCCATTGCCTCGATTAGCTTGCGTCTGCCGGGAGGTATGCGTTTGAGATACGTGTTGAGCCGATCTTCATCCACCTGGCGTCCATGGATGAAGGACCTTGTAGACTTGCCCAGAGTGGCTCGTCTAGACTTCTCGGCCAATAGCTCGCCGACTTGACGACGTCTGAAGTTCTTCTGCACACCCCATTTGTTTAGGTGCGTCTTATACACCTTCTCTCTGCTCAAAGTCAAAATCAATTGTAACGCGGAAGTGGAGGTAAGGAGGCTTACGTCGCGAAGAAATAATAATCTTCTTCCATAATGCGCTTCACTTCTTTCAGGGGTCTGTTCTGTTCCAGGTACAAAGTTGTGATGGTGCCGCGATAATTGGTCCAATCCGCAGGCATAGCCCAACCAGTGAAGGGAAATACAGAGTCCATAGTTATGAAGGGACACTGAGCGCAAAGAAAACCCAAGTAGTCATAAAAAAGAGCGAGCAGAAAGAGAATCGCTAAGTCTGTTGGCGGCTCATACTTGAGACGAATTACTGCTTTCCGTTTCGGCGAACTCAAGTTGGAAACGATATGTTATATACTCGACAGGCGAGGACGAGGCTACGCCTAGACATGCATACATGTTCTCGGTGTGGGCTGAGGACCTAACTATCCAGTATACAAAAATTCCATGCAGTTGAAGTCGTGCTGAAACTCGATTGGTGAGGCGTTTCGGTACTACCCAACTGCATATTGAATTAGGTCGTCAACTTGCGCTCATTAATACTGCCCCCACCCCCCTTCACGCTGTCATCCCTCAGAGCCTTTTTACTGGAACTTTTGCTAAGTAACACGAAGTATTCCTGCTGGTGTTTCATATCGCTGCCTAATAGGCTATGAACACGATGCCTACCCTCCATATCCTAATTTGATAGAACTCTCCCAAGAGCAAGATATAGAAATTACCATCACAGCTTAACAACTCGGATGTACAAGTTAAACAGGCAAGAAAACCGCCGGCTTAAGATGACCAAGACCGATCATGGGCGGCACTAACAATATGAATAAGCCAAGGCTACTTGGCAAGTACACCAACTACTATCAGAAAACATGTGGAAAAACTTGTATAGGTAGCAGACTATATAGAATAGATCATAAACCCATCTTCTTCACGTCTCTAACCCGCCACGTCTATCTGCGGATCTCTATCCTGTACGTCCTCGGGTGACTTAACGGGAGACTTGCCCTCGTAAACAAACCCCAACTCCTCCAACGTCTTAGCCTGTCTACCCGTCTTCTCGAACTGCATCTTGGCCTCCGCGAAGATAGCCCTCTGCCACAGAAGCTCGTCGCCCCAGACCGGCGGCTCCTTGCCCTTGCCGCGGCCCTCGCCCCGGCGCGCCTGCATGGCCCAATCGTGCAGCTCGTTGATGTACTGCCCGTCGCTGCCCTTGGGGAAGACGTGATACCCCTTGCCGTCCCTGTCCCCGTCCTCGCCCTCGCCCCCGCCGGCGCCCCGCTCCCACTCCTCGAGCACGTCCCTGGGCGGCAGCGGCAGCGCGTTCGACCACAGGCGCGCGAACACGGCGGCCTGCGACTCGGACAGCGGGAAGGGGATGATCTTCATGGGCAGGCCGGGGAACGCGAGCGTCGGGTGCGCGATGTGGAGGAAGTGCTTCGAGAGGCCCCGCACGCGGCGCCCGTCGGTGACGAGCGGCGGGTCGTCGAGCGCCGTCAGGAACGGGAACGTGTACAGGAACCCCGTGCAGAAGAGGACGGCGTCGACGTCGGTCTCGACCCGCTCGCCCTTGTCGCCGCTGCCGTCGAGGGTGCGGAACACGACGCCCCTCTCCCGGACGAGGAACCGCGCGATCTCGCCCACCTGCTCGACGTGCAGGTGGTCCAGTACCTCGGGCGGGGCGCCCGTCTTGGCGGACACGAGGAGCGGACCCTCGCACGCGGTTTGGATCTGCCCCGCGATGTCGAGCCCCGAGGGGCCCGTGCCGACGACCACGACTTTCTTGCCCCGGTACGGCTCCGCGTTGCGGTACAGCTTCGAGTGCGAGATCACGCCCGGGTGCGCCTCGTGGAAGGCGCGTATGTCGACCATGGAATTGGAGACCGGGTCGGAATCCGGGATATACGGCGTCGAGTAGTGGCCCGACGCCACGACGACGGCGTCGTACGTCTGGAGGGTCGTCGCGCCCGAGAGCAGATCCTTGCTCCGGACGTCCCACTGGTCCTGTGTCCGGCTCTCAGCTGCGTCTGCGCCTGCGCCTGCGACGGAAACGGTGCGGAGCGCGATGTCCTCCACCTGGGTTGAGAACTTGATCAGATGCCGCACGTCCTTCGCGTATTCCACCAGATACTCCTGGACCACCTCTCTCGAAGGAAAGATCTTGCACCCCGCCGGGAAGTCTAGGTCCGAGTACTGCATTAGCGTGTGCGGGATGTTCGTGTGCAGATCGTCGTACATGGGCGTCGGGAACAAGGGCGCCCTCGTCCCCTTCCCGCCGCCGGCGCCCGGGTCCGGGTATACGGGCTCGTCCGCCGGGGCGAACGCATCCGTCTGGGGCACGCGCAGCGTACCCGACGGCTGCGCGCTGTAGTTCCATACCCCGCCTACCTCGGCCGCCTGCTCGTAGATGTCGATGCGCTCGAATGCCTCCTCGGCCAAAAGGTACTTGGCCGCGGATATGCCGCAGGGCCCGGCGCCGACGATGGCGATGCGCTTAACGTTAAAGGGCCCTTGTCCCTGGCCGTCCCCGCGGTAATTGCTAGTCGACCCCATAGCGCGGAGCTATGTAGAGCTAAAGTGAACGCTTTCCCAGGTACCGAATGTAGATCCGTTACGCTTGATAATACCAATTACGCTACGTCTCGTATGCGCATGTAACCAAGTCTTTCTCAGAGCGCACACACTAAACCGTCCCCCGTTGAACGTCATGGATATTTTAAAGGGATGCGCCGGAAGCAAGTGGTATCATTTCTAGGTTGATAAATGTGGATAGGCAATGGCGCCATTCCGGTTTGCGGGCGGACGGGGCCGAGGGATCACCTAGTCTGCGCCGACTCTCCGGTATATACCGAGCGCGAAAAGCCAGACTGGTGATTTCTTATTTTTATTCTACTCACATGATACTGTAGATCCATAGACAATCTCGTGTTATCCCACATAGCTTCTTACGATGTTGTCGAGGATGCCTTTTTCTATCACAAGCATACGATATTACGGTCCTCGCTCCGGACCAACGGAGAAAAATACTTATGCTCATGCGCTTTACCGAGCTCTCTAGGAAGATAAAAGACAAATTTTAGACGATTATAAAATTGTTATTGATATTAATAACGTATTGAAATAGTGCCACCAGTATTGCATTCATTATTCTCATTCGTGTGCTTATACTCGAGTTGCATAACTCCATCTCGAACCTCACCCCTTTCATTCTAACTTCTAACAGATGAACTCACAGAAAGATGATAAAATATATGATGTATGCCAACACCTACTAAAGGCATAGTGATTATGAGCAGCCTCTTCGACGATTTCGAAATGCCCCCCTTTTTTCTTCTTTTCCCCCTTTCGGAGGTAATCAACCATTTCATGGACCAACTCTTTCGACGGTCATCTTGCATTTCACTTAACTTCAAAAGCCGAGCCTTTCGATTATTAACGAATATGAGTCTCAACTATTTTGAATACTAGTGTATGGTCGTGGCTATCCCATAACGACGGGATCTTGTGATCTGAAATGTGTTTCTCATGAATGCCGGGCATGGGTTATGTTCGGAGACTTCTAGGTCCTTTAGATTCCCATGAAGCGGAGAGTTTCATCAAATAGCCATGCCTAGCACCTAATTCAGTGTAGGTTAACCAAGTAGGTTAGGCTACTGAGTCGTTAAAATAAAGTGATATGCACCAATGCAGGTCGATGACAGGTGCATGTGTGCCACAATTGTACATCGAGGTCGTAGCATCGTACATCGGCCAAGACCCCGTCAATTTCTTTCTCGCGGTATGGATCAATGATATCACTTATAACATCTCACGCTCGTGAGAGGAGAGGGATCAAGAACCGCCTGAACCAGATAGTTCGCCGTAAACACATAATCTCCTATGACATACCTATTTCTGTGTCTGTATCTGTATCTAACTAACAGTTTTAACACAGGATCCCGCCCATGAAAGGACACTGACGTCTCTAGGAGAATCATTCCGGTGTTAATGCGGACGCCAACGGGAGAAAGCATGCCCATCAGAGCATGAGCCTTGTCGAGTGGTGAAGAGGATGAGCTAGTCAAGACTCTCAAGGGCATAGATGTCGTGACATCTACCATATACGACAGTAGTGCATTGGCCGAGATCCCACTCATCACCGCTTCCAAGGTTGCGGGTGTTGGGCAATATCTGTCCTGCTTCTTCGCCAGGGTGGCACCACCTAAGGGGACTCTCTATTTAAGGGATATAGTTAGTTGCTCTGAAAAAGAAACGATATATCAATAATCATAATTATTGGTACTCTTGCGGCGTTCGTGGGGACAATACCCCCGATCACGCTCGATACTTGGGATACATCACTGTCAAGGAGTTGTATCCCAATATGAAGGGTAACGGCTTGGAGAACTATACACATGGAATCATTGCCGGAAAGGGGAAAATAGCTTATGAATATTTGAAGGGTCTACCAGCCGCCAGGGCTGCTTGCCGACAGCATATAGGTATTAATCTTAGTCGAACGAGTGGGAATTGTATCGCGATTTAAGAAAATCATAGTAAAAATCAGTTTTACATATTCATTACCTGTAACAACCCACGGTAGTAAGTAACATTATTTCAAGGGTTGACCTGTATGCAAGATGGGACTAACGCGCCAGTTCAAGACCCACTATTGGTGGATAATATATACAATTATAGAAAGTGAACCTAACATCAATGGTCCGATGGTGTAGTGGTTATCACATGAGTTTAACACACTCAAGGTCCCCGGTTCGAGACCGGGTCGGATCAAAAATCTTTCATTTTTTCTAATCCATTAGATCAACTTATTTTTTTTCTATGACAGCAGCCAAATAAATCAGTTGAAATCAAGTAATACTCGTTTTTATTTTTCTTATACAACATTTTCCTTATTATTAATATTTACATTTTTCAAGTAAAAGACATAAATAGCTTTAATTCTAAGTCTTATAAAAAGGTGCGAAGAACTTATAAAATTTGTCCTTTTATTAGCTTTTATAGTGCTTTTAACACTAGAATGACTAACACCATTATAACCCTCAGTTTTTCTTTTTGGTTTCCTCTCACAACAGTCTTGTTAAAAAATTACGTCTAGAAATTTTAACTTACCAAACTTGAATCTAACTAGTAAATAGTGCGACGAGCTTGCTTTCAAATTCAGAGATAAACTCCACTGCAAAGACAACAATGCTAACTTGACAACCTGGTATTAGCAGGCGGCGACTATATTATTGCCGAGTAAAGCAAACGTCTACAGAAGTGTCCTTTATCATGCCGGTCTTGGTCCAAAATTGGTGCAAATTTGCGGTATAAAGGAGCAATTAGTTATTCACAGTTTCCAGATGACTCTGTTTCAGCCGGCGGTGTTGCAATCGATATAGGCCGCATAAACGTCAAAGTAACCTCGGAAGAGCGTGCCACCGCCCAGATAGGTTGCGGAGCTACCTCGTGTCAGTTATTCGCTGGTCTAGACCCGTATAGCCTTGCTTATATTAAAGGACGAGTTGGCCAAGTTGGCGCAGGCGGTTTCAATTTGGGTGGTGGAACTTCTGTTGTTGTAACCAAATATGGGTTGGGCATGAGACAATGACTTTGATTATGAGGTAATGTTTCTTCCCAATCATTTAGAATAACCTTAGATAATAGATATAGGTCGTGTTATCTAATGCTACTTTGGTAACCATGTCTGAAACTCAGCATCCAGACCTCTATTATGCTCTTAGAGGCGGTGGAAACTGTTGAGATGAGACGAAGATGTGAGGATAGGATCAAGTGTATTAGTTCAAGATGAATCTAGGTAGGTGGGCGAAGCCCACCTATATATATAGATACAGGTGACAAGGGTCGTATAGCCCCATATTTCAACAGAAACAACTTCAGCATCATCACATCATTCACTGCTGGCGTCTTTCCACAAAGTCCGGTGTACACTGGATTTCGCTCTTTGGTAACAACCAAGGGGATAGGTTCCTAGAAGAAGCCGAGAAAATTTCACGATTCAGGACTCCGAAGATATTAGTATTGCACTAGAGTACACCTACTCCTACTCCCCAGTTCAGAATCCATACGTTATGTCAAGCACACAACGTTATGCGCAGCCAGTCTTATATCCTCCGGTCTTTGACACGCTGGATCATATTCCAGGTGAAACGAGCGTAACCGGAGGCATAAGCTGCTAGGAAAATAGCACGAGGAGCGGGGGGACCTTTGGGATTAACGAGTTGAGCAAAACAGGGTCACGTTTCTACGAGCACTATATCCCTGCAGGAACGTCTTCTATACGCTCGCTTATTACCCATCTATAGAGCTGAGTAAAGAGTCAGTCATTGGAATGTTTAAAGAGGAGGTTCAAAAATGGAAAAATGCCACTGGCGTTACTCCGCAGTGGATTATATATTCGATAACCACCACCGTCATCCGCAACATATAGCTGGAGTGGAGGGAACATGCTAGGAATTGATGTCGAAGTGCACCTAATTAGCGAGTTGATAGACTAGCAATGTTCCCTCAAATCGACTAACGATAAAATAGTCGACCTTCTCACCGTGGGTTGGATTAATCGAGAGGACGATTCAAAGTTGTACTCCTTCGCGGACAGGTTCATCCAGGGGTTCAGGGACACTGCAGAGGAACTCAATGGGCTGCACCCTTTCTTGTATATCAACTACGCTAATAGGGGACAAGATATTTTCTCGGGGCATGGAGACGAGGATAAGCTGAAGTTAGTTGGTGTTATCCCGAAGGCCGTAGATCCCGAAAGTATATTCACATCACGCGGGTGATTGGCTACTTCAAGCTGATATGAATGGTCTGACATAATATTTTTCTGCTAGTCCTATAATAAGTGAGTCCTGGTAAAATTTTTTTCATGATGTCCATATGGTATTCACTTTCATATTTGGCGGATATTTTTAGCACCGTAATTCTTTTTTAAATAACTGCGCAATCGTGCCCCCTGACGATAATCTCATTTTCTAGATGAGAAATCTAGCTCAAAATGGGGAATTGAACCTGCTAAGCTAAGAACACACACACTCTCTCTTTAGTATCTACCTAACTACATCAAGCATGTCCAATTGGACGAGCGTTTCGGACGATAGCTAGGGTGCCTGCGGTAGACATCAAAGGTGGAGATATCAGAGTCTCGGTAATCTCTGGGCCGATGAAGGTGCCCGGGAAGCCGATATCAAAGGGATTGACAGACTCGAGGAACTTGATCTGCTCGTCCGTCAATTTGATCTTGAGGGACTGGAGGTTCTCCTCTAGATGACTGACTTTACGTCCGCCCACGATCGGGAAAACGTAAGGGTACTTGGCGAAGACATACGCCAGTGCGATTGAGGTGACGGATTCGATGCCGTGCTCGGCAGCTACCTTGGCGAGCGCATCACTCGTGCGGATCTCTTCTTCCGTCTGTTCTTTGCCACGGAGACTCCGGAGGGGCTCGCCCCTTGCCCGGCGCTCTTCGATCTCCTTCCGGGTCTGCAGTTTCCCTTGGCCTAGCACGTCCCAGGGCGCGAGTGCCATGCCGAAATACCGAGCCATCGGGATGATGTCGCGTTCGAAATCCCGCTTCATCACATTCCAGCGGCCTTGGTAGACGGAGAACGGGGTCTTCCCGTGCGCCTTGGCGTACGTATTCGCAGCGCTCACAACCCAGGCGGGACTGTCGGAAATGCCAAGGTATAAGACTTTGCCTTGCTCGACCAGGATATGGAGGGAGTTCATGACCTCCTCGATCGACGTGGTCCAGTCCCACCAGTGTAGATACAGAATGTCAATCCAATCGGTTTGCAGTTTCTTGAGCGAGTCCCGAACGGACATGTGCAAGCTTCTCTTATGGTTCCCACAGGAGTTGACGACTTTGCCCTTGCCGTGCTCGTACGACTTGTAGTCGGTGGTGTATTTGGTGGCTATGACGACCTGGTCGCGATTTTTGCGGCCAGCCATCCACTCCCCGATCCAACGCTCAGACTGTTCGTCTTGGTAGGCATTGGCTGTGTCGATGAAATTACCTCCTGCATCGAAATACGCGTCAAGCAGCTTGAAAGCCTGTTCTTTGTCCATGCTTCCCATGAAGTCGGCCCAGGCGCTGCCGATGGACATTGCCCCGAGTTGGAGAGGGGAGACTCGGATGCCCGCACTGGGGGCAAGAATGCGGTAGCGGCCGAGCTCAGTGGCCGGCTCTGGAGCCGCCTTCCATAGAGACATGCTGACGACTTGGTTTGATATGAAGGGAGGAAGATACTAAGAGAGCTTGGAAGATATGAATCGACGGAATAGTTGATGTTGATACTCGCGAGGGATCGAGCAGTTTATGCTTCGGTATTAAGAGTTTTAGTACCGATCCAGACTGAATGGGTGTCTGCTTCGACCACGGCGGGATTTATATAGCAGCAAGACGAATATGCCCGTATATGCCCGTCTATGTCCATTCCCCGTAAATTACTCCGCACGCAGCAAGTTAAACACATTACGGGTCTTTGCGCACGCTACTTCGTAGATCGCGGAGCATGTTAGTTATGTGCCCTAGTTCTTGATGCAACCTATCAAGGCGAGATCCGATTGACATCCACAATGTCTCGGACTTTTACTAGTCACGACTTGCTAGGCCCCTACTTACTGAGACATCTTTGGGTTGAGTGACTCAATAACACGATATATAGGTACCTACGATCATATCACATTTACTTGTATTATAAAGTATCTTCACGGTCTCTTTTTGTAGGGATTAGGTTTCACTGCAATAGATCTTGATACTCGATTCCATGATCGAGAGTATCTACTAAACAAATTTATAAGTCTGGCCGATAAGGCTCGGAGATAACATCGATGGACAGTGTGAGAATATACCTACTATGTATAGTATAAAATATGTGAACCAATTATTACCCCTGCAAAGTGTTCGTTATAAAAATAAAGTTACCTACCAGCTAACTCACACCTGTGACAAATGCATACAGTCAGCCATATGACGTAGTGGGTTATAGCTCCCTCCTATTCCAGTAGCTATGTAGCAACCTAATCCTCCACAATACATCGACACAACGAAGATGTACCTCAGTTATCATTAAATTCCGTGAAAGTTAGTTGCGGGCCCTCACGACGCTTCAGTTAAAGACCGAAAGGTAACAGCGTTAAGTCCGATGTTGAGCATCGCTTCGGCAGTTGTCCACGGGTATGGGGTATTATGTGCGTCCAATCACCGGACCCACAGCAATTGCACCGTGGAAAGCCGGCAACTTCACCAACTATTACTAGTAGAATCTATAGTCCCTAGAGGCACATGGAATAGTGGGAGACCGCAACAACTCTCCGCTCGAATCACGCTCCAAAGAAATCAAGGTGATAGAGAATCGTTGAGCCAATTCCCTCGACTTTCTAGTCGAGACATGTGAAAATAGTCGTAAACTACCTAAATACGCAAGCTGTTCACGTAATGAGACACAAAAGCTTGTTCAACTCCGGATATGCCGGATTTAATTGGAGAAGGTGTGCTAGAACTAATCATTGCTTAGGTAGGTAGGTACTACTTATCACATAACCTGCTCTAGCAAGGGTAGTTAGTATATGATTCGGCATTAATTACGGGTAATAAAGCATAGGGTTGAATTAAGAGTTTGTAATGATGTTAGAGAGCTAAGTCTCTCCCACTATGAAAACCAACTTAATAACTAGCGAACGCTTTGACCACCACCATTCGGCCATTATTACTCACCATCATGACATACTTCCGATGCCGTCGATTTTATAATCTTAAATAATTCCCA